CACAAATTATATTGATCAGTTATAACTCACCAAAACGCGAAAATTTCCAAAACATTAGTCCTAAGTTGATATGGAGAGTAAAGGTGACGCTTCTGCCTCTATCATCTCTGCTTCTCCAACTTCTTCTCCTCCACCACCGCTTTCGCCGCGGGTGGTGCTTAGCCCATGCGCCGCTTGCAAAATCTTACGGCGGCGTTGTGGAGAAAAATGCGTTTTGGCACCGTACTTCCCTCCAACGGAGCCGGCCAAGTTCACCATTGCCCACCGCGTTTTTGGAGCCAGCAATATCATTAAGTTATTGCAGGTAAGTATCAATGTATTGGTTTAATCATTATAAGCTCTTTTAACACTAAAATAAATAATTTAAATAAAGATCAGAGATACATGGGAATGTAGTTCTTGTACTATTTAGGTAGCTAGTGAAAATGGTTGTTTCGAAAAATCGATTCATATAGGTCATGTGAAAATTAGTTAAGACTTACGACGAAAGATGCATCACCTAAAGCACTTTTTTTAATGAACAATTTTTTTTTGTAAAATTTGTCATTTTCAACGTTTCTCTGTTCATTCACTTTTGAAAAAGTCTTGTAGAATTATCGTCATTTACTCTTCTTGGTCAAATACAAAAGCTTATCAATTTTTATCATACATCCAGAAGCTCCATAAAATGATTGATCATTTATCTATAATGATATTTTGTTTCAGGAACTTCCGGAATCACAAAGAGCTGATGCAGTCAACAGTATGGTGTATGAAGCCGGAGCTAGAATTAGAGATCCGGTTTATGGATGTGCCGGTGCTATATACCATCTACAAAGACAAGTGAGTGAGCTCCAAGCACAACTTGCAAAAGCTCAAGTTGAGATTGTGAATTTGCAACTTCAAAGATCAGATTTACTAGAGTTGATTATTAACATGGACCAACCAAACCAAAAACAAGATAATATGTCCTTTGAGACGACCAATGATTTTGGATTCCTTGAAGACAACTCCAACACCAACTCATCAATGTTGTGGTCTGATCTTCTTTGGACGTGATTTTTTAACTACTATACACTTTTTTTTTTTGGGTCACACAACTACTATACACTTTTATAGCCTTTTAGTACTACTTTACATTACTCATGATTACTCAAATCTCTTAGACACAAGAATGTAATATATGATGAATTTTCAAACGATTGTTATGTCAAAAAGTTGTATTTTTAATACGTTACCGAACGCGTTTAGAGCACCTCCATCAGAGGTTTTTAACAAGGTATC